CATCAATTTTCACGCAGAAAACCCATGTGCCCAGATTTGCACACTGCCTTTAAGCAGAAAAGAAGTTTTTTTGAAAAAACGCGCGAGTCTAAAACATCCAGAATTGGCGGTTACAGACGAGACCATAACGACTCAGCTCAACTGCGCGTTTAAATTTTCTATCCAAAAAATTTTGTAACTCATCCCAAAGGAACAAATTATGATAAAGATTTGAAATTTGCTTTTCATGCCTTCCAAGGAAGTATATAGCCCATCTGGAGCCGCTTCGACTGAACACCTTGTTAGTGACAGCTTCCTGGCAACAAAATACCCTGAGCTTTCAACATCTGAAGACACAATACTTACTCTGAGATCTGATTTTGGCGGATTACGTCCAAATTCCCTCAAACGATCAGCTATCCTTCTGTTCTCATCACGTCGACCTTTTCTGAAAAAAATGTATGCGAAATTGATATTTATACGTTGTTCTTTGCTAAAAAGGCTGTGAAGACATGCCTCAAGTAGCCAGTCCAATAGCCAAATTTAAACAGAAAGAAGCTAACAAAAAAGAGAAAAGGAAAGTCTAATCGTTTTCGATTATGGAAGTTCTAGAGACATGCAAAATATAATTGAATAAAAATTACTGGAACTGAATTTACCCAGAGTCTATGGACGAATGCCTTGTATCGTTAGGTGCAGGAGGTGGTGTTGCAACTTCGCGTTCTTCTGTCTTCGCAGCAAAGTTTTCCAGAGAGTTTGTTTTTGAAGCCTTGGCCTAGGAAAAATAAAAGTTTTGACGTCACTCCCAGTTGTTTAATAGTACTACTAGGTAAACTAAAAATCCGTCACCTAATTCCAAAATTATTTGCGCACCAACCTGATTGCTCTCATCGCTGATAATTTCGCCATCATCGAATGATCGGTTCTTTGCGTTTGACTCCTGTGGAGGAGGAGGACTATGCGAAGGGCCTACATCTAATGGAGGTGGCGCCGTTTCTTCAACAGCGTTATCAGCACCCTTCAAAACAGAATGAAATATGCAAAAACATTCGCAAGTAGAATCTTGCCTGTTCGGTCTCATTTTCGTTAGTTTTGCTGGGAGGGAAAGGATTCTCCATAGTAGCGGCAAACTCGGACAGATCATGGTCATCACAGAAAGGAAACACCTTGAAATGAAAAAGTTTGTAACAAAAACAATCCAGAAAATAAGCAAAATTACCTCATCGAGATTTCCATTGATCAATCGATCCAAGCACTGCATGGCGGAGTCATCTATGTTAGAAAGCAGCGAGACCTGCTAGAAACGCAAAAACTATGATTGAATGGCCTCGGAAAGCACTATGAACAAGATGAAAGGTCAGAGGTCAACACAGTACCATCATTCAGAAGGCAAAAAAAAACAAGAAGAAGAACAGAAACAAAAGAAGAACAGAAGAAAAGAACAGTTATAGAGGTTACTTGTTTCAGGAAACGCCTTTTACTTTAATCCTCCATATTGTGACTATTTTTGCTCTATTCAAAATCACGAATAAACAAGAAGGGGAGTGGCAGCAACATAGTCAACAAAAGTTATACCCATCCAGCAGAAAACCATTTCAGTTGCGAGATACTCCATGATTTTGAAAAAAACCTCGACGATGCAAAAAAGAGGGACAGACAAAACAGGAAAAATGAAACTAAAGAAGAAACTAAGAATAAGTAAACC